AGACACCAGGGGATCCTTCCTCCATGGGCAATTGAAATTCAAGGAGACGCACACTTAGAAACAATAGATCGGCGGCCGGAAACCACCGCAACGGCAGTTCCCAGTAAGAAGAGTCGCGAAGGTTCCGTACCACTCGGTGCTCTCACTTTGGAGAGAAAATTATTCTTCTTCAGTAACCCTTTTCAGTAGGTAGAAATAATTCCTCAATCGTTGATCACCTTTGTATATGCATAATCGTAAGTGTATAATAAATAAGGATTTTGATTCTCTACATTTGATATTTATGCATTTATACGTATTTAGAGTAATTTTAATCATTTGGTTAATTTTAATAAAGTTTAGTTAGTCCACGTCATCAATTATATATTATTGTAAAAACTCACTATTTGTGCCCAATACCCTTGGACTTGCAGACACGTAGTGCTCATGCGGCCATTTCTTCTAATATCTTCAACCCCCTTATAATTTATATTATATATTTTCTAGTTAGTCTCTGCACATTCAACTTGAAATATAATAAAATTTTATTTAAAAAGAAGAGAAGTGAGTCCCAGATACAAACAAAAGAGAATCACATGATATTCGAATGGTCGACGTTCAGGGGCTTGGGTTTGCTTTGCAATAGGAGTCCGGGAAACTACAATAAAAATAAAATTGAACCATTTAAAGATGAGTAACCGGTAAGTGATAAGGTACAATAGGAGAGTTTTATGATGACATGGAATAATTCAATTCATTAGATTAATTAAATTGTTGAAATTTCTCTAAATGCGTATAATAAGAGGCTCTTGTTATAACAAATATGCATATACACTCGAAGTTGCAAGTAAATGTGGAAAATGAGATACAAAAATAAACTCTTTATATATAGATAAACAAGTGCAAGCAATCACAGACCCAACTCTTTTTGCTGTTGCTCCGCCCCCCAACTCTTTTTCCCTTCAAGTTTTCCCTTCAAATGGAAAGAGGAGAGAAACAATTACTTCTTTTTCCCTTCAAATAATAAATAAGAAAAGAGAAAAACAGAAAGAAAAACAAAATTTAGCATACCATTTTATACCCAACCATGCCAAATATTTGTTATAATAACAGACTGCACATGTTGGATTTTGTAAAAATCCTCTCCTCCTTCCCCAAGCTGGCTACAGAATTCAGGAAGCATCCAATTGATGGTTAGCTCCTTGAGGGTAGTAATATATTGAAGCCCATCTGGAACTGCCTCCAATTTTAAGCAATCCTCAATGTGCAATTTGCAGAGATTAGGCATGGCTCCTTTCTCCACCTTCCATTCTTTTAACTCATTCAAGTGCATAAGAGAAAGAAATTCGAGAAATGGAAAGCCTCCCTCTGAGCAAACAAGAGATTCCGAAAAACTCCCGTGACTAGCAAAAAGCATTCTCAAGCTCGGCAGCTTCTCTAATACTTTTATGTGGTCGTCCTTGAGATTACCAAATTCCCTCAATGTAAGCTTTGTGAGGTTCCTAAGGCACATGAGGTCTTCTGATAACTCTGTGATATATCCGTGTAGTCGCAGCTTGTATATATTAGGACAGCTTAATACTATGTTCCATGGTATTGGTAAACCCTTGAAACAAGAGTCCACTGATAGAGAGTGGATATGCTCAAATATGATGTTTGTCCCTTTCTCCTTTTTTTCCCCAACGTCAAATATGATAACTCCCAATTTTCTAAGGTTGGTTAGTTTAACAAAATCATCTAGATCAGATGCCTGAATACCAATATTGACTACCGTCTGCAAATTCACTGCCTCAGTAGCAAATAACAAACGTTTCTCTCTTGCACTGTGTCTTGAGGGTAAATATATATGTCTCAATTTTTCCATCTTGGAAAACACGTTTAGATTTGGAATTTGAAGATACATATAATGGCTACTGCTACGTAAATCCAGAGTCTGCAAACATACCAAATTTGCTATAGATGATGGCACCGCGCGAATATCACTATCCTTTACACTTAAAAACCTTAAGTGCACTAGATTCCCAATTTCACCCGGTAACTCGTGCTTTATAACACACATACCTTCAAACTTCAAAACTCTAAGCAATGTGAAGTCCCTTAATAGTGACCGTAATACCTTTGAGTTCCAATAGCAGTTTGTTGAGACAAAATATAACAAAGACCTAACATGGCCATAATTTTCATCTCTCCCCGGACAATATGCCTTAATCGTTTTGATGGCAAGTCTTCGAACTCTACCGTTTGGAGTTTCCTTGGTCTCCGAAGCTACAAAATAATTGATGATATGGAGAAAGTTCCCCTCTTTTGCCTTTAATATGCATAAGTCTTGCATAAGATCATGGAGATGACAAGTCTTGATTTTCTTACTTGAACCACGTTTTCCAACTTGAACCATACACCTACCCACCAACTCATTTAAGCACCTATATGATACATCTTCCATTACTTCACCTGATGCCGATGATATAAAACCTTCTGCCACCCATAGTTTAGTCAATGTACTCACTGGTATTTCATAATCTTCAGGAAAATGGGCTAAGTATAGAAAGCATAGTTTTAAGTAATATGGTAAGTTATCGTAACTCAATTCCAATAACCATAATACACCTTCAAATCCTTCACCTTTGTAATCGGTCCCAAGGTCTGTGCCTCTCTTTATATATGCATCAATATTCTTGCGCACCGTATTCCACTCATCACCTGTTTCTTTTCTAGCTAGAAGTCCTGCAAGAACTGTGATGGCGAGTGGCAAACCTTTACAATGTTGAAGCATCTTCCTACCTAACTCTTTCTTTTCTTCATAAGTTTTAGGATCTGAAAAACAATATTAAGATTAGATACATATATTCAATTGACGAAAAGTACACAAAACAAATTTATCCCATTAGTTTTGAATATTCTATAGAAGAATTTTCTTAGAGCGACAAAGAAAAAGTTAGTTGACGCGGAATTGATAAACATGAAAAGTACATATAAAAGGTTTGTGTGAGAACATACTTGTATCTTCCGTTCCAGACATTGCTATCTTCTCAAACAGTTCCCAGCTTTCATCATCATTCAACGACTTTGGTGCAAAGAGGAAACCTTTTTTGTCCGCACAGGAAGCGACTTCTTGGTTGCGAGTAGTGAGTAAAATGCGGCTCTCTGTTTCCTCATTCATTGGAAATCCAGTTTCCAACAACCTCCACGCATCACTGGTCCAAATGTCATCCAACACCACCAAACATTTTCTTTCTCTTTGCGTATTCCAAAGCCACTCTGCTATTTGATCCTTCCCTAGATCTGCAATTTTTTGTCTTTGCTCATTGGTAGGAGAAATGAGTTTTGTCAGAATTTCTTTCAAAACCTCCCGTCCCTGGCATTGTTGAGAGATACACACCCAAGCAAAACAATCAAAATGACGCTTAACTTCACCATGATGATAAACTTGTTTTGCAAGAGTGGTTTTACCCAACCCACCCATCCCCCAAATAGAAACAACTCGGGGGCCTTTTTCTTTGATCAAATGCGTAACCAATATCTTTGTTCCATGGGCTAACCCAACCACATGAGGGTCGACAATATGAGGATAAGTTATCCTCCGTTCCTGTTGCCTCTGAAAAAAAATGTCACCTCCATTCTCCCTTGTTTGGTGTAGGTTAAAACTTAGCATATTCGAACTCAACTCTGAAATTTCGGTTGTAATTTTCTTTATGTCTGAGCCAATCTGATGAAGATTAACTCCTTTTATGAAGATGCCAGTAAACCATGTCAAAACATTTGGTTTCCTCTTGATAGCCACTTTTAAGACATAAGTTTCAATGACATCCTCAAGGTCATAAGCAGCATCTCTGACACTTGCCACCCAATTGCGTATTGTTTTATCGCGTCCCTGGCTTGCGTCTGCATCTTTCAAGTAGCCTTGCATGAATTGTAGCTGGATTTGTGCACTCTGAACCTTACCACCCACGGATTTCAAGGATTTCAATTCCTGAATGATAGGGTTGCTGAGCCCTTCGAGCACTATTGAAACAACAGCTTCGGCCATATTAGCAGCTTTTCTTTTTTCTTCTGGTTTTTTAGATTGATAAAATAATCTTACTAATGGAGAAGTCTCAGTTCCGTTCATATAGGAAGTAGCACAAGGGCAGAAGTCAACCAAGTCTCCGCCCCACCCTGTCCCATAATTGTTGTGATATTTCCACAATCAATGCCAGCTTTGAAAAGTAGCAGAAATGCTCACCCGATGACCAAATTTTGAGGGACTCTGAGCGGCAAACACATATCACCCGTTGGATTAATCCAACGGCTTGTAGTCTTAGTAACCAAAAGTGAGACCCATATAGACGATTAAACACCGTTGGATTAATCTAATGGGTGAGATGTGTTTGGCCCTCAGAGTCTCTCCGTATTTGGTCCTCAGGTGAGCACTTCTGTTGAAAGTAGAACTTATCTCATACAATCACTTTTTGAGACAAAAGGCCATAGCATTATCTCATACAATCACTTTTTGAGAGACAAAAGGCGATAGCGTTATCTCATAAAATCACTTTTTGAGACAAAGGTGATAGCAGTGAATATTGAAGCCTCATGCAATTTGTACAAATTATTTCTCTCTTTACCATTTTATTTTGGGAAAATGGGTTTGTCATCCATGTTGTGTTCTATGACTTTAGTCGATTTGTTTAGAGTGCTTTAACTTTTGTCGATATTTTTTTGGTTGTTCAGAAATTCAAAATGGGTTTATAATAAAAGGAGAAAATGTTATAAAACTCCATTGCATGAGGAAGTGGTTATGGAATACTACAGTAGTACAGTCACGTAATAAATCTTATACACATGTTATAAAAAAAATTTATTGATATTATTCTCTAAAAATAGAAAAAATAAACTATATCATTCACCCATATTATAACACATATACAAAATCTACCATATGACTATACTACCAATTCATTTTCATGCTACCGAACGCCCCTTTGTTGCATATTTGGACAATTTACAACAGACAAGTGTATAAATATATTAAAGCCTTAATAATAATAATGCAATACAATTACTATTTTCACCATATCAGGAGAGAGGTAACTTGGATGAAAGAACAAAAAATGCTTGCGACTAAAGCGATAGAATGCTTTTCTTTTAGTCAAAAAGTGTAGCATACTTTTGACCCTTGGTTAAAGCAATAACCAAAGCATGCGATGATGTGTTTTTGGCAGTATGTAATTTCAACACAGCATGACAGCAAATAATGTTGCTTTTCTGGTCAAAAAGTGTTGGAAATATGAGTGCTAAATTGCTATAAAATAAATACTGCATATAAAACAAATTTTTATAAAAGGAGAATTGAATTAGAAGAACCTTAATTGAGTCAAGGCAAGTGTTGGACACTCTGATGTTAAGACGAATTACGCCCCACACTGGTGCTTATGGTTCACTAGCGTTCGCCTCCCAGGATACAACGACTCCCCTCCTTGTGAAAGAAACACTGCAATTCACAAGGAACTTTGAACCAAATTATGCAGGAACCTCTCTTTATGAAAACTCTAATGCTTTCTATATGTGAAAGTCTGTATGTAGAGAATTAAACTGAATTTCTAAAACTGCAAGAGGATTGCTCTATTTATAGATGATGAAATACCCTTTCCAAAAAGGTATCCCTATCTGAAAAGGCAAACAATGCATCCCTTGGTTTGAAGAGGTGTCAACCCCCATGTGAAGATGTCTTTAACCCAAGGGTCATGTCTTTAACCCAATGAATTTTATTAATTTCCATTCAAATAGAAAAATCAATATTACTTAATATTAAATTTTCCAACAAAAAGTGGTAGCATGCTTTTGTCTTTTAATTAAGGGTTTGTCCAATATAGGTCCCTACAATTTCTATTTCCTAGACATATACCCATCATTCTATAAATCTATGTGTAAAACCCAATTTCAAACTTAAATGACTAGTATGATATAAGAGGTCGTAGTATTCCTATGTTTTTACATCCTTGCCATCAGACTTCATATTTTATATAGGGATATTTGTTGAAATGTCACTTGAACTTATACCTTAGTTTCAATTTGTCACCTGAAAAAATAAATTAAGAGAAATGTCACCTAAACTTTTCAAAATCTATAAATATTCATCTGACTTTAACATCATCCAATTTTTCATCCGTAATTAAGAGTATTTTAGCCTTTTCGTTTTTAGAGTGTTTAAAAATAAAAAAAATCATTATACAAGCCTTTCCTACCAAACATTAAAAGATTTAAAAATGCATTTTTTTTCCATCCCCCCTGTCGTCTCTCTCTATTCTACCTCCCTCCCCAACCACACCTCCCCTCTCCTCTGTTTTTTTTTTCTTCCCCCAAGACCTGAGCATGGAAGGGATGGTGATGCGCATATTTTATATTATATATTTAACCCCATTTTTAATATAGTTTGGTTAATATTTTGGAAGAATTTTGATACTTTGAATTATATTTCCATTATAGGACTTTCGACTCCTTCTAGAGCAAAACATAATCAAATGGACGAATTTTGGAGTAATTCCAGTTGGAGGACGTTCGTGAGTCACTTGGCTTGATCGTATCAAAATTTAAGACTTTTCTACCAAGCGGTTATTTTCTGGCGATAAAATAAAGGAGCAGTGCGCGGTGCTGGAATAATGACGATTTGGGCTTTTATTGTGTTTTGGAGCCCAAGATGACCTCAGATGGGTTCGTGGCCTTCTGGAGAAGTGTTCAGAACGTTTTTATCTTTAAAACGAGCTATCTTGGGCCAGATTTGGAAGAGATTTGAGACCAAAACGTGGCTGGGCAGATTTGGGCAGATTCTCCTAATCCAATTTGGATTTTATATCCTAGTATTATCTTATTTTAACCTAGTTTCCTTGTGGGGAT